AGTTCTACTCCTTCCTGTAGGGCTGATATAAGCTGAAATCTACTCGATGACAATAGGGTAAGCAATCAAATCATATCTATAAAAAATAGAATGTGGAAGAAATTACTCCTTAGATCCTCGCAAGTGCTCCTAAATGCATGTAATGAAAAATTTGAAAAGAGCTGAGCACTGAAGGTGTGGGACTGTTCCTCCCCTCCCTTTCATTTCCTCTCTCCTTCTTTTTAGCAGGACCCAAACTCCTGAGGGCCAAGGAGCAGCCTTGGAGAGAGATTGTGAATCTATATATACTATTTCTGGGACTAGTTCACCCTCTGAGTTCTCACCTATGCCACATCTTCCATCTGAATCACCTCCCAGATACGAAGAAAAAGAAACCACTACAGCTACATTCCTGTCACCATCTTCTGAGCCTTCCCCACCATGAACTATGGACTCCAGTTCTGTTTTGTATGTGATTGATCACTATTTTATTTAATTTGTTTTTAATAAAAAATACAACAGCATTGGCTATGTTCTGTTTTTCCTGGTGTGACAGCATCAATAACAGTAACAAGTCTACCAGGTGGGATTCCAGTGGTTAGCACTTCAGAGCACAGAACAGGCAAAAACTCCAGTGAGTGTGTCCTGTGGGCCCTGTGCTTAACATAACTCTCTCATTTAGACCTGCAACTCTGGGTGGTAGTAGGGTTGCTCCTTTTGGTGGGTGAGGAAACAAAGGCTCTGAGAGGCTATTCAACTTATTTAAGGTTGCAGCTTCTAAATGGTGAAGTTGGGATCTGAAGCCATTCAGAAGGTTTCTGAAAGCCAGGTTCATATCACTACCTTGTGCTATAAAAGAACAACCAGAAGCAGTTGTTAGCTTGATCCAGCCTATCTCTAATGTTACTTGCTTCTGGGGCAAAGAAACAAGATTACTCTTCTGCTTTATTATTGCTTCTTCTGCCTCCCCCCCACTTTTCCCTTTTCCTCTTCTTTCTATTCTCCTTTCCCTTCTTCTTTCATTTTGAAAGAAGATAATTAGGGAGCCTTTATAATGGAATCCCTGGGTGGTCCAAACAGTGAATGTGCTCAGTTGCTAACTGAAAGGTTAGAGGTTTGAGTTTAACCAGAGGTGCCTTGGAAGAAAGGCTTGGTAATCTATTTCCAACAACTCAGCCACTGAAAACCCTATGGAGCACACTTCTACTCTGACACACATGGTGTCACCATGAGCAGAACTGACTCAGCAGCAACTGGTTGGTTTATACTGGGGCAGTTACAAGCATGCTGATATTCTAGAGTCTTATAGTGAAATTTCTTGGGATACTTTGGTAACTAGGTTCCCTTCTTGAGGTGCAGGAAAGATTTCCCTTTCTGTATTATAATGTACTCATTCTAAAATGTCCAAACCATTAACTTTTATTCTTATAGGGATACTGCTAAGAAAAACTTTTGTAGTTGGGTGCAATAATTATTTAATTCTAGATGTAAACTGTCATGGATTGAATTGTGTCCCCCAAAAAATGTGTGTAGCAACTTGGCTGGGTCATGATTCCCAGTATTGTATGATTGTGTTATCTGTTGTTATGTAAACTCTATCACTATGATGAGATTATATGTGATCTCCATATGTGTTGTAAATTCTATCACTGTGATGAGGTTATACTGATGAGGTTGACAAGATTAATGTCTTAACACAATCTCTTTTGAGATATAAAAGAGAGAAGCGAGCAGAGACACATAGGAACCTTGTACCACCAAGAAAGCAGTGCCGGGAGCAGAGCGCATCCTT